AAGCAAACCCAAGAGCCCGAGAGAACTGACTTACAGATACCATCAGCAGAATCTTTCCAAGAGCACTTAAGCTCAAGACACAGCTGATAAATCAGCCGCAAACAACAGGGGTTTTAGAATTCTCTATTCACTTTCCAAGGAAACATTTCGAGAGTGAAATTCTACTAGGCCCACCTTGAGGTTGAACTGCATATGTATTAAAGAAGTCAGTGAGGGAACAGAAATGTCTTGGTCAAAGGTGAGTTTTGACTGGGCTAAGGGAGGTATATCCATCCTATGTAGGTTCACACACAGGGCACTTATTACTGTGACTTGAGACATCACACCACTTCTGTAGAGAATTGACACACAGAGCCAAGAACCAAACCCAGCTACCTTCTAAGTTGATGCATGTGTAATGCAAGGGAATCAGAATTAGCCTCCTGCTGATAGATTTCCTGATTCATATCCTCATATAAAACTACGAGCAACCCCCAGGTGAGAAGGCATAAGATCCAGAAGCTGAACAAGGAGAGGTTTTCAGCAGCCGTTCCTGGACCTTGAAGAGCCCCTCTTCTGGAGTCCTGCACATGATTCTGCAAGTTCAGACACGGAGAAACCATCTTTCACTAAGAAAATAACCTCCTCATCTGTTAGCTGAAATGCCTTCCATCCACCTTTTTGATATGTCAAGAAAATATTTCGTTGTTGAAAAAACCATGGAATTGGCATACTGGGAGATGAATTAATTGCTGTGTGGCAGAGGGGGCCAGAGCCTCCGACCCTGTGGTGGAAGGCGCCCCCAAGAGCCCAGGAAGGATCTGGTGTCACTGTCATCTCCACATGGAAGCCTCCTGGAGGGCAAGAGAAGGCTATTTTCCCAAGAGTGGCCCAGGATCTCTCCGTCCTGCCCTGTGTGTGTCACATGGCGTGGCTCATGGTGGGCACTTGGCAGATGGCTGCACTGGACAGATGGTTAGATAATGTTAAATGACCCTGAAGACTGGGTCAGGTTTAAGTGCACAGCACACTCAGAACAAATGGAGGCTGCCGTTACCATGGCTCACCTGACTTAGAACCCGCACTGGGCTCTGCACTCATGGGGCTGAAAAATTGGCAAAGGGGATGGGAAATGTCAGTATAAAATCTTTTACTTGGAAACCATCAGTGCTGGTGTTGGTCATGATGTTGTCATCCTTGGTAAGCACTGGGTTAAGGTGTTTGTGGCTTGTCTTGTGTGTCACCTGGGGGTTGATGGGTACCTTAATCACCAGGTGACATATGAAAAAAAAGGCTCAATGTCACCAGTCATTAGCAAGATGCAAATTAAAACCACAGTGACATAGTACCTGACAGATATCACTTATTAGAATGAATATTACCAAAGAGCCTAGAGATGGCACATGTTGGTGAGACTGGAGAAAAGGGGAACTCTTGTATGCTGTTGGTGGGAATTTCAGTGCAGCCATTATGGAAAACTGTATGGAAGTTCCTCAAGAAACTAAAAATAGAATTTCATATGACCCAGCAATTCCACTTCTGGATATCTACCAAGATTTTAAATTAGTGTGTCTAGGAGGTCCCTGCACACTGTGTTCACCACAGCACTATCCACAGTAGCCACGTTAAGGAATCTCCTTGTGTCCACCAAGGGATGAGTGGATTAAAAAATGTACAGATACGCACTGAAGCACTATTCAACCTGCAGAAGGGAAGAGATGCTGGCCATTTGTGACAACATACGGAGAACTGGAGACTGTCACGCCAGGTGAAGTAAGCCAGACAATCACGGCATATTCTCACTGTTGAATCAAAACAATGAAATCAAACAAGCAGAGGGTAGGATGGCTGCCACAGAGGCTGAGGGGTGGGCAGGAGAAGGAGGGAACGACAATCAAAGGACATAATGCCTCAGATAAGAGGAATGAAGTTGTTTGATTCTTTTTTTTTTTTTTTTTAATTTGTTGCACAGTGGCTAGGAGCTGATAATGTACACTTTAATGTCGCTGGAAGAACAGATCTCAAAGATGCCTGTCGTGGAAGATGTCAAATGTTGTTTTGTTTTTTTAAAATTTTGTGTTTAAATTTTTATTTTTTTATTTTTATTTATGTATTTATTTATTTGGCACATCTTCATCAACTTGTTGAAAATAAAAAGTTCTGAACCTGAAAAATCTCTTCAATACACTACTAAAGAAAAACTTTATACAATGCGAATAAGAAACTGCTAGATACATGGAATTACCCTGCCCTCCTGGTCTACCTAGCTCAAACGAAAAGAAAAGTGCAAATTTCTTAAGAATGCTTTCTTCTGAAATGGCATGTGACATACCAACTTTTTTCTTAAGCATTTTTAAATGTTTTATCAGTGCACGATAGTTATACATAATAGTGGGTTTCATTTTGATGTCATTGTACCTGCATGAAATATCATTTGCTCATTTCAACCCCCAGTACTACTTCCTTCCCTCCCCTCCATCCCCCGCCGTTCCCCTTCCTCTGGTCTCCTGGTCTTCCTTGTATTTGTTCATTGATTTTAAATGGGGGCTTTGTAGATACACGTCCAGGTGGAATTCCCTGTGGTGTAATTCATATATGGACATAACATAATCTGGTCAAATTCACTCGGCAGTTCTTCCCTTTACCAGTCCCTCCACTTCACTCCCCTTCCTTGGCTCTGCTGACCTCCCTTCTATTTTCATGGGATTCCTTCTTCCTTTTTTCCCCTTATTTTGCTCTAGGGGAAAAAGCAGGGGAGGGAATCCCATGAAAATCTCGTATTTTTCTGTATCGGAGAGAGAAATTCAACCCTTGACTTTCTGGTTTCTTTCACTCGGTGTGATGTTCTCCAGTTCCGTCCATTTACCAGCCAATGCCGTGATTTCATTCCTCTGTAGGGCTGACTAGAACTTCATTGTGTAGACGTACCCCATTTTCTTTATCCATTCTTCGGTTGGACATCAGATGTTTGAGGCGACGGCTGGGTTGGGGCTGGGTTGGTTGACTTTGTTTAGCCCTGACTTGGTATTCAAAAGTCATGCTGTTATCTTGTATCCCATAAATATGTTCAGCTGTCATTCCTCAATATATATTAAACTACAAATAAATAATGGAATCACTTAAGTGGCTCCCACTGTATTTCTATAGGAGAGTGCTGCTCTATCCCACAGGAAGTGAGAACATCTCTGCTCCAAAAGCTTAGATGGGTTTTTGCCCTCACAGCAAGGGGACAGTGTCTACTGGCAGCCAAAGAACAAGAGTCAGCTGCAGGGAGGTAGTGATATAGATGTAGCTAGGACCATTCCTCGGACTCCCAGGACCACCAGGGGGAGGCTGGGGGGTCCTCAAACACACTTCTGGTAGAACCTGCTAGAACTTGGGCTGCCATGGCCCAAGCTGCCTCCTCTGTCTAGGAGTCTTCTGTTGTATGTGCTATTGATAGAGCCTTGTCCAGGTTCACTCAGAGGATGTGATCTGTCCCTGCTTAGCCTCAGGGAGACTTTCTGCAATCGCAGTCCTCTGGCCTGGTGTCTGAATGAGGCAGACAGACAGAGTAGCTCCAGTTCCAGAGCTGGGTTCCGCAGGGTTGGCTCCTGCTCCCAGGATACCTCCCCCGCTCCCCAGGTTCAGAGTGGACCTACTTACTCCACACAGCCTGGAGGGGCTGGCAGACACCAGAGAGAAAGGGCCACCCGCTGCAGGAAGGAACGGGGGCTCTATAAAAAAGCAAGACCCCCTGACTCCCATGGGCAATCAGCTTTGGCCCTAACTTCTCTCCAAAGAAGCTTGCTATCTYTGTTCTGTCTCTTTCTTAAATAAAATTCACTTTCTACGCTTGCCTCAGTGTTTCTGGGGTGTTTAATCTTCAGCACCAGGGGAACRAKGACCCAATTTTGATTTCCAAGACCAGTATCACTTAATCCAGTGAAATTCTGATAGAAGTCTAATCTACAGGATAGACCAAAGCTTGGTTGAGAGGAAGRCAGCCTGTCGGGCAGGTCTGCCTTGGGCTCCCTCCTGCCCCTGTGCAGCCTGTGGGTGCCGTGGACAAACTGCTTGGGTTCCCCAGTCCCTATCCCTTTTTCTGCAACCTAATCTTTAAACACCTGCTCAGGTGTCTTCTGTGTATCGAATGGAAGTTGTTTTCCAGAAAACCCTGTTGGGATGTGTTTTGCTTTGTTTTCCAGCATGTAAATCTGATCTTCCTTGTTTTAAAAAAGTATTCATAGTGGGTTCTTTTACCCCGATCCTGGTACTGGTCAGGTGTGACGGATGCAGGCCGAGCATCGCACAAGCTATTCCTGGAGTGTGACTGTGGGTGGCATGGTGGGCAGGAGGCTCAACAGGASGGGGAGCTGGAGCCTTGGCTTGCTCACCAGTCCCTATTTGCTTCCTTAGCATGTCCTTCACTGTCCGGCTTCACTGTCCTGCCTCAGTTGTCTTGTATCATTTGTTTCTGGCCCAGCCCTATGAGAATTTGAAAATGCAGGAAAATGAAACRGGAGGACAAAATGCAATTTTGCATGACATTTCATGCTCTGCTCATGGGAAACAGAGGGGTTTCCTATACTAAGTACTTTTGGATTAGGTTGACTTCTAGACTCATTTAAAAAAAATATGCAAATGTGGACTTATCAAAAGGTATTTTTTTGCAAATAATAATTAGAAATTTGAACATAACATTTTATTAGTGATTGTTAATGARCTGCCTTTTGTTTGCTGGTAAATAAATATTAAGGTATATCATGAGAAATTATGAAACCTTTAGAATAGCAACCCTTTAAATTCTGCCACTGGCMAAACAGTGAATCAAAAATATTTGCTTCTTCGCTTTCAATTAATGAGTCAAAGGGCTCATTAATTCAATTATTTACCTACATTAAAAAATAAGAACAAAACCATAGAATACTATACATARAAGTAATAATTTGTAAGCATAGATAAACCTATTTTTTCTAAATATGCATTTTATATTTTTCCTGAAAAAATAATTTTGCTGTTTTGTGGCTCTTTTCCCCCAGACTCCATCAGAAAATTTATACGGAACAAATTTGAAGTCTCGGCTGTTTATGATGAGGTAATTTTTTATTGATGTGTTTGTTATTAAAAATAACATGTATGAGAAAAATCGTGGCTGAGTGGMAAGTAGATCTTCAAACAGCCATTATTTAATCAGTAATTTCAGTATCCTTTGTTATCGACCATTGAACAACCGTATGGATCCCATTTGAATGACAGCAGAAATTTCAAAAGTAGCATTGGAAGAAAATCTTTCAAACTGTGTGTTGTTAAAAAGTCAAAATTTCCCCCAAAGAAATATTGACATTTTTTTAGCAAAGGGATAAGAGTAGACTTGTTTGAAAATCTCTGCAATCGGTGACAGTGTGCTTCGTTTTAGAAGACGACCGGTTAGAAAGCAGCTTCACCTCCATAAGTGACCTTCAGAGAACAGGGAGGGAAAAGAGCTGGTTCTGCACAGAAGCTCCTCCAAGAGGGGTTGACTTTGGGGTGGAAAGGATAAGAGGTCAGGAGCAGGTGGGAGGTGTCTCTGTCGCATCCCAGACTGGGAACCACGTGAGCCAAGGGTCAGGTGTGAAGGAAGCAGGTAGGTTGACCAGAGAGAAAGGAAGGTGAGTCAGGGCCCCATCTGCAGGCGAGTGGACAGAATCTCAGAAAGTGCCTCTCTGCCTGACTCCCACGGTGCTGCGGATTCACTGGTTTGGTTTTGTGACTGCCACCTAAAGGGAAGGAAGTTCGTTCTTTTGATCTTGGTTTGTGATGAGAGTAGGTTTTCTGGGAAACCCACAGACAAATAATTGCTGCCTTGTATGGAGAACAATAAAAATTAGTTGAGTCTGTTGGTCACTTTCTCGGTCCTTAGCAAGGTAAGCAAGGCATGTGGCCCTGTTCTCTGCTAGAGTAGCTGAGGTCCTTGAGTTCCAGTAAGCAGAGGTCCTGGTGGACATTCTTTACTGACTAGTGCCACAAATCTCAGTGCTAGTGTTTGAGTGGGGGCAGTTAACACTTGCCCAGTGGACAGTGACCTCAGGTGCTAGAGTTATGAATGACCTCATCATATTCTCAATTTGCAATAAAATGCTACTCAAGAGAAAAGTGAATATAGAAGTCAAAGAGAAAACCTTCTCTAAATGTCATTTATATCTGATGGCAGGAAAGCCTGAGATGGCGGAGGAGCCTTACTCCTTCCTGGATGCAGCTCACTGCGAAAGCATTTTACTCTTCAGTGCCACTGCACTGACCATTCCAGGATTCTTAACTGGGCAGCTCCTTCATGCTCAGCTTAGTATTAAATTGGGAGCTGCTCTGCCCTCGGGGATACTGAATAAAAACCAATGGGGGAGGATAGAGAGAGGATACAGACCTGAGCCCACTTGAATGAACTGAATTGTTCCCTTAAGGTGGAATTGGATCACACTTTCTACGGTTATCCAGGGAGAAGGGATTTCATTAAGCAAAGACACCAAAGAAGTCAGGGCATCTTGGGAGGGTTGGGTTTAGTCAGGTAACTGCTGCATTTGATAAGTTGTCCCCAGTGCCCCCTGAGTCAAGGAGTGAAGAACAGGGAGAGGCAGGGAACACCAACTGGGATGTGTTGAAGGGTTCCAATGAGCCACCTGCCCASGGGTAACAACTGCCTACTGCAGAAGAGCCCTGGGAACCTGCAAAACATCAGCCTCCAGGTTACCTGGGGAAGGAAGGGTCAGGGAGCTGCAGTTTCTATATACCAAGACCAAGCGGCACTGCCTAAGGGCTGCCTAAGTGTGGAGGACAGCGTTCACTTCTAAGTACTTCTGACCTTCTGTGGTTCTGGAGAAAGCCCTCGAGCAGAATTAACGATGCCAGTAGTTAGAAGTCTGAGGAGGCACACCAGGATGGTAGAGGCCCGAGGGCATGGGCAGGCACCGAGGACGACTTCACTGTGTCCACATAGCACAGGCACACAGGTAAGGACTGTCCAGGTGAGTGGTCCTGGGGTCGAGCCTTCCTGGTCTCTTTCTCCTGGCTCTGTGCTGCATCTTTGGGTCCCTTGATGGCGGAGGAGCTGGGCAGCTGAGTCAGTGATCTCTGTTTGGGGTTCTTCAGCGGACTTTCTTCCTAAGGAGATTCAAAAGCTGTCACAAGTRTAGACCTTTTGTTCCAAGGAGTGAGTGACCCTTGGACCCCTTCTCTTTTGTGACWTTTTTTTTTTTTACCCAGGCTTTTTCTCTCCTTTAGTTATTACAGTGTAGTTGCTTAATTTATATTTATGGAGTTCCAGTTAGGATCAATGCATGGTAGGGGTTCAAACATGCCAGAGTATGGCTCTTCCTCCAAGAATTCAGAGTTGGCGAAAGAGAGGCCAAGAAAAGAAACAGACAAATGCTTGGATGATATGGCTGACTTGCATCCAGAATTCTCACKTCCKYGTCGTCTTACTCAGGAGCTCAGAAYGTGACTATATTTGGACAAAGGATTTTCAAAGACGTGATTACTGAAATGAGGGTTAGGGTGGCCCTCATCCATTATGACTGGTGTCCTTATAAGAAGGGAAAGCGAGGACACAGTCAGGCAGAGAAAACCACGTGATGCTCCAGCCAGAAGGTGAGCGCCCTCAAGCCATCCAGGAGAGAGGCAGCACAGAAACCAGCCCTGCCGGCCCCTTGACATGGCATTCTCCAGCTTCTAGAACTGCGGGGGACATGAGTGTCCACTGTGGAAGCCACCGTGTCTGTGATGCTCTGTCATGGCAGCKGTGCAGACTGAGACCCTGGGTAACTGGCCGGCGAGATGGAGGGGGATGTGTACCCCGTGACCAGGGCCAGGGTGTTCAGAGAGGGACCCTGCCCCGGGGAAACCAGGGAGGACTCCGTGTGCAGCTGGCCTTTAAGACTGACTGAAAGGCCAGGAGAGTGACAAGTAAAGTCTTACATCCACCAAAAACACTTGGCTGAAGCACCAGGCCACTCAACAGCTTCTGAAAGCCTGTTCTTACACTAGCTCACCATCTTCCCTGTGAAAGTAGGAGCCGCCATCTCCGGCTGYCTGTGCCAGGCTCTGGGCTATGAGCATTGCCTTGTTTCTAACTCTCACAAGGACAGCCTTCCAAGGAGCAAGCAACTGTGCCATTGTAAAGGCAGAAGAAGTCCTGCACTCAGGGAGGCCAAGGGAACTTGCCTAAGGTCACCCAGTGGCTAAGTGAGGAAGCTGGGATTCACACCCAGACCWTTTCTGACTCTGAAAGGACAAATAGCATCAATGAATGGGAGCCTTGTCCCAAGCCACAGGACTGCTTTGGAAGAAACAGGTCTTATCTGAGCTCTTTGGCTGTGTGCAGAGAGTGTCACGGACTCAGCTGTCCTTGCACATTTTCAGCCACACATTTTTAGAGTGGGTGATTGTCCCTGGGCAGAAATGGTCACATCCCAAGTTACCTGTTACTGCAGTGTGACTGAATCCCCAGTTTGCTGAGGAAGGAGTACTGCATGTGCTCTCAGAGAACCTGTGAGAGATTCTACAGCCAGGATGAGGCAGGTGGAGGCAAGTCTGGGTGGGGGGTGACTAAGCTCTCCTGGCCTTTGAGTAAGCCTTAAAGGGGGATCATGGAGCTGTGATGAGAAAGGAGCAGTGAACAGATGACCTCAAAACAACTCTGATGGTCCGAGTGCCCTCAAACGGAATCCCAGCATCTCCTCAGCACGTGCTGGGCCCCAGACGTACTTCCATGTGACCGATATCTGCTGATTCTTCTGGTTTTCACAAGACTCGTCTGTCCACCTGAGGTGCTGAGCCAGAGRGGACTCGGGCAGCTGAAGTGTCCACCCCATTTATTGCCAGGGCCTGGGCTCATGATACAGAAGTGAGCCACACCACGCTCAGCCCTTTCYGCAGAGCTCCGGAATACGTTCTCCTGGGGGTCAGAGCTTGGGGGTGAGCCACTTCCCAGACCCTCCACATCCTGGTTGACGGTACAAGAGGAGTACAGCATGGTGTCACTCAGTGACATGCTCCCTTGGGGTTCTGCCTGGAAGGCARCTCGAGAAGGCAAGCCTAGCACTTGTCAACTAAGAGGAAGGACAGGGTTCTCACCGTGATAGAATGCCTGGCTTGGGGCATCTGGGTAGATTCCTTAAAACCACCTCCCACTGATAACCGGTAAGTATCATCCACAGTTTTCAAGGAGAAACCTTTCCCTGAGTCCGTTCTCCTAGCAGACCCTCCCCACCTGCTGCTTGCCATCTTGGTTGTTCTGTGCATCTCTGTCAGCGGGACTCAGGAATTTCCTTGTCATGGTTACTGGATTCGTTTCCATGTGGTGGTGTTTTACCTCTACTCTTATTTCTTGATCAGCTCCCTACTAGATTCAGCTGCTTCATCCTTTCCTCATTTATTTCATTTCTCACTTATTTCCTTGCCCTTTCTTTATGTTTCCTCTGGGGAAAGGTACAGGGCTTGGGAYTCGTCCCTGTTGCTGTGACAAACTCACTAGCACTAACATCCTAAAAAATCACTGGGCACCAATGCGGCATTTAGTAAATGTTAGGAGCTCACACAAGCAGGGTGGTGAGTTTGGATGCCATCTACTTATCTAAGGCATAAGTGACTTAGCTCCCATTTCCGGCCCTCCCAGGGGGAGAGGACACTCTGCCAATAAGAAAGTTCAGTTCCCTTKCCATGGCACATGGAGAGCACAGGGCAGGGTAGTGCACCACCAGGAATCAAGGCTCCTGGAGCTCAGGTGGCACTTGAGCATCAACCTGGCAGGCATTGGTCTTAAGAATTYGAGAGTATCAGTTCACTTAACATTCATCAAGACACTTGGAATAGAAGAAGGCACAAATCACATTCCTGCCATTTTCTCATGTAGTTCTTGCAATAGCAGCATAAGGCATGGTCTCGGCTTATTCCCATTCTGTCAGCCAGGAAACTGAAGCTCAGTGGAGTGTGGATAGCAATGTCTAGACCCCATTCTGATGTAGTYGTTCAGGGTTGGCTGGCTACTGGTATGTTTTAATTGCTCCCTAAGTGACCATAATGAGCTACAGAATCACAGACACTAAGTGGCAGAGCCAGGACTCACATTGCCACATTACAYAGAAGATAAGATCTGCATGACAGCCAGCGTGGAAAGAGAAACAGTGAAATGCACCCAGCTCTCCAGAGGTGTGGGCTGCCACCCTATCATGTGGATCAGGGCAGGGTGACTCTTGGGTGGAAGAAGTGAACATGAAAGAATCGGCTGATTATTGTAACTTTTGGGTGGCTCTGCCCTGGCCACAGCCCAGAGTGGCGAGCCATTGTAGCCAGACTAGGGCAGGGGTCCCACACTGACCTAACTGTGAGTTCAGAATAACRCTACAATCACCAGGGCTCTTATTAAAGACATTGCTGGTCTTTCCACATCTCCTGACTCACACACTCTAGGGTAGAGCCCGGAAGTCAGYGTTTTTAACACTCACTGTGAAGTGCTTGTGGTTGGCACATTTGGGATACTGAGGCCTGAGGGTTAATAAGCCTATGGGACCAACTTGGGATGCTGAGGAAGAAGGATTGAAAGTTTGAGGCCAGCCTGGGCAACCTAGCAAGGCCCTGTCTCAAAAATAGAATTAAAAAAAGACTAGGGGTGTGGCTTATGGGTAGAGTGCTCCTGGGTTTAATCCTCAGGGCCACATATACATACAAAAAATTAAGCATAAAATCCATAATGACTTCCGTTTTCCTTCCTACACATATCACCAGAAAAGGATAGTTTTATAAATTGAGCAAATCTAGCTTTATGGAAAACTCATCGCATCTTCACTATGGGTTGGTCTATCCCCAACACTGCCAGCCCCCATCTCTGCACCATTGTTCAGGAGTTGTTGGTGAACAGTATACGGTTGGGTCTCCTGTTCCTCAGTTCATCAGTTCATCAGAGTTTGACTGGGTGACTGTTAGTGCCCGGTCCTGGGCTGGGCACCTGGGAGCACACGGTGRGCATGACTGTCGCAGGTCTTGCTCTCCCAGACATGAGCAGGGTGTGGAGATAGCTGTATCCTCTACGGAGCATCCCTGCTGCCACAGGCCAAGTGTAGGGCTCCATGGTGGTAAGTAGAGGATGTTGGGCACCCCAATGTCTTGAGGAGGCAACACCTAGACTTAGTGTTGAGTTTCATCAGGAGAAGAGCAAATGAGAATAACGTTCTGGGTGAAGATGCAGCACGGGAGAGCCCAGAATGAAGAAGGGCAGCACACAGGACACGTTCTGGGGACRTTTTATAGGGTGACAACAAATACCTTAAGATGGTCAAGGATGGTTGAGAAGAACAGGCACCTGAAGCCAAGATTAGATGATACAGAACMGATTGAAAAGTTTGGAATAAAAATGGCGGAACTCCATTGACCACTGTGAAGCCAGGAGGACACCAGCAGATTTCATTTTAGAGAGGATGGGACTCTAGGCAGCCTCTGGTTYTCTCTTTTATGAAGATCACATGGTTAGCATGCTAAGCATTTGTGACTTTCTAATTCACTTTTTCACAAGTGACCCGTACTGATTAAAAACCTTTCTCCAGGTGTGGCACACGCCTGAAATCCTAGCCGCTTGTGAGGCTGAGGCAGGAAGATCCTAAGTTCAAAGCCAGCGTCAGCAATTAGCAAGGCCCTAAGCAYCTTAGTGAGCCCCTATCTCAAAATAAAAAATAAAAAGGGCTGGGGATGTGGCTCKGTGGTTAAGTGCCCCTGGGTTCTTAGTACAAAGMCAAAACAAAACCAAGAAGCTTTCAGTAATCGAAATGTAAGCTTCAGAACTTGGCTCTACTCAGAACAGTTCYTCAAATGCACACTCGGGTATTACACTTCTTTCTTACGTTGTTCTTCTGTTGGTTGATTTTCTCTGTGCGGGATGCTAATGTTCTTGGTTGTGGTCAATCACTCACGTGACTTTTCCTGTCTGTTTTCTTGATGCCGCTGCCTCTGCTACACACAAACTCCTCCACTGCTTTGACTTCACAGCCAGAAAACATAGTCTTGATCCTGAAGGTAAAGCTCATGTCTGCTGTCGCTCGCATGTTGCTCTTTGCCTGAAGGCAGTAAGTAGYGCTGCTTTGCTTAGAGCTTTCTGTTCTTCTTTGCTGCCTTCCCTTTGATGGTTTTTAGTTATTCATTTCATTGTTGTTTTTGCATTCATCTTTAATCTTATCTTGAGCATAATCTAGTGCTTTAAGATCTTGGTGTATCAAAAAATAATTTGCATACTCCCAGATCTTGGCTAGCCTTTAGCTTAGGAGTCAACTTTCAAAATGATGCATTCTGAGTCTCGATACTGCCTGATTTAGCCAGCAACATTGGGACATGGGGAAGGTTCTACAGAAAGTACAGAATTTGTACTTGAAGCTAAATTAGTGCATTGTCAACATTTAAAAATACCTTCTTCCTGGGCTTGGGTTTAGTGTCTCCTGTGATTCAGAAAGGGTTTAAAATTCCTTTCAGAGTAATAAATAGAATATTTGGAATAGCAAAATAGGTAAGTATGTAGGAGTTTGGAGTGTCTGGGATGGTTCCTTAGTTGGCCAAAGACACTAGTCTTTGAGGAAGTGTTGAAGAATCTGCTGCACATGGCTCTTCACGGCGGTGGGAAGGGGGTCAAGGTGAAGCATACAAATGTAACTCATGAATGCATCAAAATTCAGCCACTTTGTTTTTCTTTTTAGCATTTTAATATGAATATTGAAGTAGATGGTATTCAAGTGTCACATGCACCTGCTTTAATACTCAAGCATTCACCCAGAGAGTGAATTACTGTTTCTTGATATGAATTCATGTAATTAGTGCATGTCATTATGTTAGGCCATGTGATTCTCCTCCCCACACAGTATGCTGATGGGGTCGAGGACTGAGGAAGTATTTGCTCCCAGGAATGTGACCCAACCCAGGTCTGGCCATTTGCTGCATCCCAAATCAATTTAGTCAAGAGTCAAGGTGTTGAGCCAAGGCAGGTAACTTCATTTGAAAAACAGCTGGAAGAGATGAGGGACTCTTGTCACAAGCCYATCTTGCCAGGAAGCTGACTTGGGAGTGGCTTATACAGGCAGTTGATGGGTGCTTCCAGACTGGCAGGTGTCTTTTCACAGGGAGTGGGCCAGGTCATGCACATGTGATCCCAAAYACCTCGTCACAGGATGCTGTTTAGTTCTGCAGATCTCCAGAGCAAGGATCGTTGGGTCCTCAGGCCATTCTTGGTTAGTTTGCTGATGTTCAGCTTCTGACATGTTACAGGATGAACAGGCAAGAGGGGGTTGCTGCCCCCAGGCCTTCTTGCCTATCGCCAAATTCATGGCAACAAAAGAAAATAGACTTTGCTTGATTATTATGGAAAACTAGGGTCAGGYGAGGTGGAATAGGAACTCAGGCAGGAGAGTGGCTCTCAGTGCTCAGCTGTAAGAACGGGATCTGTGTTTCCTTTAGCTCTGCTTGGCCTCAGCATCTATTGCTGTCTAGCTTGTCTGTAGGTTGCCCACTGCCAACTGCAATTTTCTGCCATTCTCAAGAAATGTAGGTATATGCATGAATTGGAGCAGGTCAAGTTTCACTCATTTTCRTTTTCCTTGGAATAAAGCCAGTGGTGTTAATGAAAATATAGTTATTCCTATGATTGCATCTAGAAGTTGTACTTGTTCCTGGGAACTTGGGACCAGTCTTAGACATGGACTGCCAAGCCCAGTACTTCCGTGGGYTATGCCTCATGTGTGTGGCATGGGAAGTGTCATTAAGTGTCCACCCTGCTCCTGCTACTCAATCAGGCACTTTTCCTCTAGTCATACACCACAATGTATGGATGGAAAACTAAGTGGACTGTATTTTACCATCAGACTCAGAAAGCCTGGGCCTTTGTTCTAAATCTAGATCTATTCCAGATTCTTTTGAAACCATGAATTTGTCGCTAACTGATTCAATCCAGACTGCCTCRAATCTTTAATAACTTTGTGTGTCCTATCTACATAGAGGATTCACTGTGCAGGTATTCTGGCCAAGACTTATCAAACTATTTACAAGCAAACAAAATACRTTTGGGATTAAAATTAGACCATTTGCCCACATCATGCACAAACACAAAAATGGGAAGTTATACTCCATGTATGTATAATATCTGAAAATACATTCCACTGCCATGTATAATTAAAAAGAACAAATTTTTTAAAAGTGAAAAAAAAATAAACCATTCACAATTTGACCCTGGTTTGGACACCTTCCTGGGAATCGAAAGGAAGATAGTAATCCCTTGTTACCATATTCTAATAACTTAATTCTGTTTCAGAAGGGAGTTTCAAATGGAAAACTATGCACATTAAGGTTCAACTCGTGATAGTGAATAGGTAAAAAAAAAATGAATTGTGTCCACTCGGGGATGTTCCACTTTGTATTTTGTGTGACCGTTTGTGTTGTTTCTTTTGTTTGAATTACAGATCGCCCACTATGAGATCGGCGTTATCCTGTGYGTTATCCTGGGAGTGTTATTTATTATTCTGCTACCTGTGGTGGGTTGTATCTTTGCGATATGTCGTTGCTGTAACAAATGTGGTGGGAAAATGCACCAGCGTCCGAAGGAGAATGCGCCCTACCAGAGGAGGTGCCTTGCAATCTCCCTCCTGGTGATTTGCGTGCTCGTAAGGCAAGTAGCATCGTGGACGACAGCTGATTGGTTTTAGGGTGATGAGCTGTGTCCCCTGTTTTAACTGTTAAGCCCATGAGTTTAAAACAGAACCATGACAGCAATAACAAAACAGGAAAGGGAGAATAGAGGTGCTCATCCAAGACATTCAAAAAGGTGTCACMGTTCCTGGATCATTAAGCTCAGGGAGGAAGCTGCCCTAACCTGACTGAGGAGCCTGCCCTGTGGCATTTTTCCCGTTTGTGGCTATGCTGGAGCATGCAGAGACCGTCCACGCCCTGGAAGCTTCCTCTTCTGAGACAGCTGTGCAGGGGTCATCCAGCCTGCTGAAAGGCAAAGGTCACATTTGCTAGTTGATTTTCTAGTTAATTCCAAAAGGAATCTCGCTGGACAAGGGCGGTCCCYGCATTTGGAAATTCGAGAACATCGTAGAATACACTTAACTTTCTACTAATTTCTAAACCCACTTTTCTTGAATTTTCTGTTCATCTGCTGCCCTCTTTTGAAGTCTGCAACACATTTCATTATTTAGGATGTTTCTGCTGCAGTTTWTGCTGCTACCAGAAGTTTTCCAATTGACAGGCAGATCAGAATTACATTGCTCCTAAGATGAGGATGTTTTGTTGAGTCCACGTCGATTCCTCCACTGAGGAATGTGCACATGGCACTGGTCCCCTTGTGACTTTTGGTTATAGTGCCRCCTTTCCTCATTTATTCAACCAGTGTTTCACATGGCAACCGAGGTGAAGGTCCCAGGACATGACAATCGGCAATCTTGTCTTTCTCCACACACCACATTTGCACAGCGTCCATAGGTAAGATATTTCAAGTTTCATTAAGTAGGTGATGATTGTGTGTTTAAGCCCAAAGCAGTAATTCCTACTAGTTGAAGTTCTAGCTGCAAACCCAAGAGCAAAAATCATTAAGTGTGGCCATCAGTAAGGGTCTGGTTAGATGTGTGTTCTGGGGGTGACCGTTCATCYATCTTGGAATCGAGGATACCCATTCAAAGAACTGGGTGGCTCCAAGAGAGATGCAAGGAAAACTGCAACCCTGTGTGCATGGTCATGAGGCAACTATGATATGAACAGAAAGGAGGGAGACACAAACGCTTGGTTATGTTTGCACAGAATGTATAGGAAAGGCTGGTGAGGGACCAGCCCCAGTGGTTACTTTTGGAAAGGAAATTGGGGGGCAATTGGGTGGAAGGAAGGAACCGTTCTTGCTGCAGCTGGGCTGCCTGACTCTTCTGAATTGTTGTACCACCTATTGAGTACTACCTATTGAGCCAATTAAACTTGAGCAACGGAAAATTCCAGCAAAAACCAGTGCGTTACCACTTGTTCCAGGGCAATTATTATTTAACTAGCAAAGACATAATTTTGCTGAAAAGGTGGAATGATAGACTTTTACCATACATGTGTTTAAAAGGATCCAAGTGAATGTGTTAGTCACTTCACGTGCTGTTGGCTAACGGGGAGTCTTTGTGTGTCTCTAGGAGCTTGCGCTCTGACAGGTCTTTGGGCATTTATCTTCTGTGCCTGTCTCTTGTCTTTATCTCCCTTTTGTCTGTCTGTCTTTTTTGTCTTGGCCTCTCTGTGTGTCTGTGTCTTTTTCTGTCTCCCTCTTAAAGTGATTCAAATTGGTTTCTTCACACTGGATTCTGGAAGGCAGATTAGAATCTGGTTGATGGCATCTCCAGATGTCTCTTTCTCTCTCTGCTGTGCCTTTGAAGTATTCTTAGGAATGCACAGAATCATCCCCCTGCAGAAGTTAGTGACCTCCCTCGAGTGCTAGAAGAATGTCACTTACAGCCCAAAGACTGTTAGATTCATCAGGGGCCCTGTGCATTTTCCAGAAGGGGAAGACCTACCTGGTCTTTTGTCCAAAGACTGGGCAGCCATGTTTTTCCTTGTCCACYTACTCACCCTAGACATTAAGATGAGGCTCAGGTCTCAGTGTCCTTTGAAAAGGCTGCCTTTAGAGTTTCTTGTTAGAGTCATCACTTATTTAACAGGTTAATAGTTTTCATGTCATAATTTCAGGAAAATTTTTTATTGTATGTATTATACTTTATTTTATATTTACCTGAATAAATGTTTACATATGTAAATACATRATGTAAGTAATAATGGGCTTTCATTTTTTTAATAAAGCATGTGGTATGTACTTAATTCTTTTTAAATTGGACTTCTATTTGCATTTCATATAATTGCTAGTTCATGCTGAACTGATTATTTACATTATATTTAAAATACCAAAATATATAAACAATCAAGCTACAAAGCTAAATATAAAGTTGGCTTCCATTTTACATAAAATGAATGTTACAACTATTTTTTTTTTATTCTTAAGATTTAGATTAATCAAACAAATTTAGATAACTGTTTTCTTTTAAGTTGGGAGAATCTTTTTTTAAAACACATCCCATGCTTCTATTGCCTCCTATACATACAGTTAAAAAATTTTCTCCACCCAGGTGAAAACTAAATTCGAAAAATAATAATTTTAGATTTTAACATAATTAAACCAAAGTTGATCAACTGTTTGAGGTGGTAATAAATTTAAAACTAATTTGACTTCATATAGTACATTTAGTACATTGAATTTATATATGTAATATATATATATACACACACACACACACACACACACATATATATATATATGTATAAACTATATGTAGGTCTCAATGAGAATAGTGTATTTTTCCTTTGTATTTACTTTACATTGAGACAAGAAGTTTAAACTTTGCCTTGAACTTTTCAATTCACTGTTGCTATTTTGATGTCTTCCTTGAGAAACCCGTACTCGCTAGCAAGTGTCTTAAACATCGTGAGTCACATGATAGCTAAGTAATGTTTGCAAGTAATCAAAGCTAACCAAGAAGATTAAAGACTGGGGGAAAGTGAAGATGTCTTTGTTTTGATTAGATGAAAGGGAGAAGAAGGCACATCACCAAAAATAAGAGGGGACAGACGTCAACTAAATTAGAAAGCAGAGAATGAAACGTGTTAGTGGACTTTTTTCTTACTGTTGGGTCTCTGGCTTACACAGCACAAACTGCCTGCTAATCTTTGGTACAATGTTTTAAAAACCTCTCACAAACCCAGAGCAGTCCAGTTGCCTTTCATTGGGCTCAATTCCATTGAGTGATTCTAAATCTGACAATTAATTGTAAGTAGTTTTCAAATTAGCTTTGACTACTCTTAATTTTTTTTCATTCATCCCTTTTTATTTCAAAAATTTTTATTTTATTTATTATTATTATTTTTTTTTTTTGAGAAAGCCATGGGTTTAAGAAAACCTTTGTTGGGGAACAAAGGTTCCCCAGTAAGTGTGGAGCACATCCTGGCCCACTGTTTGCTTGAGCCTTCCCCAGGAAGTTGGAGCATCAGAGTCTGTGGATCTTCTGTGGTCTGCCGGACCGTTAGCTAGAGGGTGAACTTCCACCAGTCATGTGGACGGGTCAGCAAATGTGTCCAACTCCTGGGAGAGCCCAGTGTCTGCTCCTCCTTTCTTTTGAACTTTTCATCATTGCATTTTTTTTTTCAAAATTTCAAGAAGACTATAAAAGAAAAAAGAAGGAACAGCCAGCCATACCTTGATTTTCTTCCATGTATTTCCAAATTGCTGAGTCTGATAGTTCAGCTTTGCCAGCAATGACCCTGGTGAATTGRATCCCAGTCATCCTCAGGAAGCTGGCTGTCAATTCCTGCCTTGGAGGTCACAAGATTTCAGAAAAACAACAAACTAAACTATAGCATTCCTGAAAATCATGAGACTTTCATAATRAGAAGGCGAGGTCTGATTATTTAACAATTATGTTAAAAAAATAAGAGGTCAGTTACAGACTAAACACATGTACTTGACTTTCATTGGCTGATTCCATTAAGTCAGTAGAAATGATTAAGGAAAAAATTGCTACAAATTTTAATGCTTTAAGTATTTGTAAGTATTTTAAGCTGAGTGTATATGTAAACAATGAAAAATTGTTTTTTCATAACACAATATAGAAAATATAATGCTAATATGCCAAGAAAATAAAAATTCCTACCTTCTGCTAAAATTTTTGAGATATTTTGTTGTACTTCACAGATGCACATGCTTTTGATGACTTAAAGACGTTTATGTCAAGTGCCAGAGGACAGATATTCACTGACGTTTTATTCTCTTTTGGTGCTAGGCATATTGCTCTCATTATCCTCATCTCCTAATAACTGACCAGTGGTTGCCAAAAATACAAAGACATTACATATGTGACTTTTTTWAAAAAAATGTATTGAACAGTAGTGAGTATCTAAACCACCCCCAACAAAGAACATCACTTCTTTATTTTCTATTTTGTTTGCATATAAAGGTTTAAGTTAGAAACTGCAAATGAAGATCCTCAGTGGGTCTGCACAGTACTTAATGTTTTTTTAAGATTAGTTGTTAATACTTAAAAAATGGAGATTTTACCTAAGAAGCTACCTTTGCAGATGTTTGTGGACAATGGAAAGGTCTGGCCACACTGGTCTGCCATCATGATGGCTCTTGGTGACACCCTCCACTATGGTGGCACATGTGAGAACTACAGTTCAACCACCCCACCCCACCTTTGTTCTCCTGGCTCCATAGCCCCTTGACCCACGTGTCCCTCTTGCTTCAGTCTGCCCCTTGCAGGCTACTGGACTTGTCATCCTTAAAAATATAATCTTTACACCATGTGGGGATCTGAGAATCAGCTTTGCAAGTTGCTGAATTCTGTTGCAGACTTCTGTTGATTACTGTTTTTTTTTTTTTTTTTTAAAGAAAAAGATTATCAGTGTGTTTATTTCAGTTGGATCCATTACTGGTTACCAAAAATGAGGGTCTTCATTAATATGTAGCATTGTTGTACTGAAATATATAGCAGCTCATTTTTCTTACTGATGTTTTGTGAACAAAGACACGTATTCAGTAAAGGAATGATGTTTGTGCATTGGACTCTCCAAATGTGGTTAATCTTCTCAGTAGTGCAATGAAACCAAAGTCCAGTCCTTAAACACGCCTTTAGCAAGACTGCACTGTGCACAACTGAGASAGAAGCAGTTTCCAGCTCCTTTTAGGGAAATTAAAGAGGTAGAAATGAAGACAGAGTAAGCAGTGAGAAATACCCGCCCCAGAATCGAAGGGAGAACCCCCCCTTAGAGTTTAAGGCAAGGAGGTTCTCTTCTCGTTGAGGAGGGGTGGCAGGGTCAGTGAGGGTCAAGTGGAAGTGGACTTCCAAGTTCGCTTTGACTCCCTGCATGACCAAACGGGTCTGGAATAGCCAGGGTAATCTGAACATGCTGGAGAAAGCAAGGGTCCCCACTGTGAATATCAGGTATATTCGGGGATGATTCCGACTCATCTGGCATAAAACGTTTGAACTTGGCATGGTAAACGAAGCTTTCCAGTCTCATTGCTATAACTCAACGTTTGGTTTTGTGTTTTTCCTCTGCACACAACTCTGAAATCCCATTTTGGGTCATTTGGCCTTATTTGGCACGAGGGCATCATTTTGTAACTGATTGCCACAGTCTAGCTTCTGCCTCATCAATACCAGTGCAGATGTAGGGTGGACAATAGTGGATTGTTCGGCAGTCATTCCAAATGGCACAGAGTTTTGTTGACATTCATGTTTTAAGGTCACCATCAGAAAGATCCCCAACTTAAAAACGATCTTGGAGAAGGTGGAGGCAGCCGGAAGCCCTCTCCCTTGCCACTTGAGTGGTTTCCAGTTTAAGCTAGACAGGGTCTAAACGCATCCTTTCAGCWGTGAAGTACTCACTGAGACACATAGAAGAAAAGTGACTTTCTCATACTTGGTGGCAGTAGAGGGACCAGGACACACATCTTGTTCTGCTCCTGCACGCCTTCTGCTGCAGCTTGTTACCTCTAAGAAACCTCACTCAGGGCGCATCACTTAGAGATTGGAGCAGGTRCAATACTGCCATGGGGAGTGGGTTCTGAGGGAGACCAGCAGGGAGCCACTGATGCTCTACGTCCTCATTTACCCAGGACTCAGAAGTTATCTGGGGACATGGACTTTTTTCAGTGCAAAAACTAGGACCCTTGGTGACCTTGCCTACAAATGCATGTAAAGTCCACAAAATTGCATATTTTGAAGAGGCAGTGCATTGATTTTCTGCATTTCCCTCTGCCCAAAGTTTTCCTAATACAGGCAGAACTTTGTTTAAAATATATCCACACCTTCCGTTGTAACCATTTTTAAAATTTTTTATTTGTTTTAATTACTTGCACAYGACAGTAGATTGCATTTATGTACTTTGGTATATCATACATAGATGGGATATAATTTCTCATTTTTCTSAGTGTACGTGTTGCAGAATCATATTGGTCATGCAGTCACATATATACATACAATAATAATGTCTGTTTTATTCTACTRTCTTTCCTATCCCCACATCCCCTYCCCTCCCYTCCCATCACTTCCCTCTACCTAATCTAAGGTAACACTATTCTTCTCTAGCGTACCCCACCTTATTGTGAATTAGCATCCGCATACTAAAGAAGACACTTGGCCTTTGGTTTTGTGGGATTGGCTTATTTCACTTAGCATGATATTCTCCAACTCCCACCATTTACTGACAAATGCCATAATTTCACTCTTCATTAAAGCTGAGTAATATTCCACTGAGTATATATACCACATTTTCTTTATCCATTCATCTATTGAGGGACACCTAGTTTGGTTCCATAGTTTAGCTCATGTGAATTGAACTGCTATAAACATTGATGTGGCTGTGTCACTATAGTATGCTGATTTTAAGTCCTTTGGATATAAACCGAGGAGTGGCAWAGCTGGGTCAAATGGTGGTTCCATTCCCAATTTCCTGAGGAATCTCCATACTGCTTTCCAAAGTGGTTGCACCTATTTGCAGTCCCACTAGCAATGTATGAGTGTACCTTTTTCCCCACATCCTTGTCAA